TCGGGGTTGACTTAACTGTGACTTGGGCCCATCGAGTTTTTTTTTTTCGGAATCGAGGTTAAATCATAGAGCTGCTGTCCTCGAGTTGATCAGCCAGGGGCCCTCGTGGCCCAATCAGAGACGCTTTGAGAACACAGTAGTAGGAACCACGGTATGCCCAAGGTATGGAGCACCAAATGAAACGCTCTATCGTCAGCTTTGGGAATGCCCCAGTAATGGGGGCGTTCCCGATTTAGAAGAAGATACACGACTTTGTGAGCATGCCAAGGTAGGCGCTGAAACCTATCGCTGTTTTTGGCTTCGAGGAGGGGAACGGGGAACGGACCAGAGAGGGAGCGTGGCCCGGGGACGGGCGGCAGAGGTACGAGCTTCCAGCAGGTCGTGTAATCGGAGGCGACGGCTCGGGGGGGTGAGCTTGGTGAGGGTCCTCGTTTGCGTCGTGTTGGTTGGGCTTTCGCCATTTGTGTCGGTGAGTCTGTCTTGGCATCCTGCCGTGGAAGCATGGCAGGGTGGAGACAGACCGCTCCCCGAGCCGAACTGCTAGCCGCAATTAGAGCCCTTGAAGCAAGCTCAGGGGATGCCACATATATTGTAGATGCGTCTAATGTCTTCAAAGGGGCCAAGTACGGGCCCAACTATAAGTGCAGGAGTAATGCCGACCTGTGGACTGAATATTGGCAGGCAGTGGCAAATCGCCAGGGCAGACTCACGCTAGTCCCCAGGCCCACTGGTCTGCTAATGCCCAGGCCGACGTTTTGGCCGACAAAGCTGCGGTGGACGCCCGGGCCCCCTACAGTTTGGCGGGGAAGGTCCAAGAGGCCGATAAGTTGGCATGGCGCATTCAGAAACACCTGATTTTAGTGTCCCCTGAGGTGGCCAAGAATGCTGAAGACTTTTACGGGGCCGCTCTTAAAGGAGATGTCCAGGACCGATCAGTAGCCCAAGCTAAGGCTAAGGCAAGGGAGATTCCCCGACTTCTGCGGGAATCCCAGCACCGACTTTCCAAAGCTCCCAATGGATGGAAATGCACGGTTTGCCTGGACCAAGTGGGAAAACGTTCCCTTGAGGAGCTCTCGACCTCTTCGTGTCCTGGGCAGCCTGTTCAGATTGATGTTCCTCTCAGGATCGAGAACTACCAAGGCCTCTGGTTTTGCCGCCTGTGCGGAGCACAGGGGGTAGAGCAATTCGTTAGGCTCTCTAAGCAGTGTGAACGACGACCGCCCAATAATGGCAAGGCCACCCTCGAGGCAATCGACCTTGGGAACCTGTCCAAAGGGGTGGAACGGTGGCCTGATTCGAGTCCCCCGCCCAGAGCCCGAACGGTGAGGCACATGACTTTCACTGACGAGAAGGCGGGAGGGTGGGTGTGTTTTTTTTTTCCTTGGCGGCGCTGATGCCACCATCGAACTCCGCCGCATGTCGCAGCGCAGGAGGAGGAGGAGGTCGGGGAGGCGGGAAAGGCATGGATGGGGAGGAGGGATGGGGGCCGGGACAAGCGACAAGCAAGGGGCGGGAACGAAATTGTTGCACCCCGTCCACTGGACAGAGCTGACGCGCCCGAGGGTGCGTGCGTGTGTGCGCGTGACAATCGGGGCCCCAGGATCGCGACTCTGCAAGAGGACGTGCCCGGAGGGACATGCGACATTTGACGTGGCGACGTCCCCGGAAGGACATGTGAACATCCCAGGAGGGACATGTCAACAGTCTGCATCGCGCTGCTTCTGTGAAACGCCACGGCGCCCCCCCCGCGCGCGCGCTCCGCCACAGCTCCTCTGCAAGACGACGTGCCGGGAGAGACGCGTGCTCTCATCGGCCAAAATGAACAGCTCCTGAAACCTGGATCGAATACCTCCCCAGAAACACACTTCATGAGAGCGTCCAAAATGTCCAGGCGGTTTTACAGCGATCAGGTTTGGCACTCGGGGCACACACCTCTCTTGCGGGATTCTACATCACGCCCAGCACGATTAGACAAAAAACCTCAGCCTGCATGGAGAAGCTGGCGCACATGGTGCTGAGTCTAGCTGAGGACGCCTCAGCCCAAACATGATAGTGCCGCGGCAACTCGACGCCGACGGCCTGCTGCTGAAAATCATCCCAAGGTTGGTCCGGTCCAAACGCACAGGGAAAAGAGGAGTGACAGGAGCTAAAACACGGCCTTCCAGGATATTCTGAGACAGGTTCAACTCGCCACAAATCCCCAGATGGGGTGCCCAGGGCCCCCGCTGATCCAGAGCAAAGGCAACCAGAGACGCCAGGTGCTCCGAGACAACTCCCTAGTCGAAAACTCCCCCACTTCCTCCCGAGTTGGTAAATTCCCCAGGTGGTACTGTGAGATGTCCCCGCACATAGGAAGGCCACCCAGACTCCCAGAGCTCATCAGGGCACATGCTCCAGTCCGCCATAACTACGTAGTGCTTAGCTACCGTAAGCAAGTGCCGACCACCCCCTCGGAGTCGTTCAAATAAGCCGAAACAATAGTGACCTCCAGTCCTTTGAAACGTTCCTGCCTACCCATTGGGTGCCGAAAAAACTGCTCCTGTCCGTCGGGGCCGATCTTACAAGGATACATGACCTGAGAGTGGATGGCGGTCCCGGAGAGGATCCACACACACACACACACACACCCATGCCCCAGGGCCCCTTCTTTGGCCGTCGGGACCGCAGGGGACGAGGTAAAAAGCCACCCCGCTCTTTTGAGTTTCTTTTTTCTTCCTGAAGTAGCGCACCTCCTCTCAGATGAGTTTCGGCGCCCATGTGGAGCAGACCATATTCCATATGTTCTGCTGCTGAGTAAGCCCTCGCTCGGTCATTCCGCTTCGTGCAGTTTGCAAAGTAGAAGGAGAAAACTTGCTCGGCGCCGCCACGTTGCCGAGCTCGAGACACTTGGTGGCCTCTGTTAAAGTTGCTGCTGTGAGTTCTGAGACTGTGTATACTTCTGCCTGGCCGCCTCGAGAGCGTTCTTGATATGGTCCTCTGTGACGATGGGCTGGGACGCTGAGACTGCCTGAGTGACCTTGCCTGCCGCCGCCGATGCCGCCGCCGCACCTCCGCTGGATGCTGACGCCGCCGATGCCTCCTCAGCCGCCGCCGATGCCTCTGATGTCGCCTGAGAGGAGTCACCGCCTGCACCCCCTGCACGTGCTCCATCACCGGTACGACGTCGTTTGAGCGCCACTCTGGCTTTGTATTATTCAAATTGTTGCTTCCTGTCCACATGCGACTTTGCCGAGGGTCCAACTGCTGCCACGATGAGTTTGGATACTTCCTTTGCGAGGGCCCCCGCATGTTCCTTCCATTGTTTAACTTCTTCTGCAGATGACTCGAGGTCCGAGGTGTCGAAGCTGGCCCCGTCCTCACATGTGAGCACCTCCAGAAGCTCAGCCTCCTCGGTCGCGTTGAGCAGCTGAGAGAGGTTGATTGGGGCGGAGACCAGCTGCAGCACCTTGGGGTCCACGTTAGCTTGGAGCAGCGCCTGATGCTTAGCTGCTGCTTCTGCCGAGCACTTGGCCTTCTCAAGTGTGTCCGCTTCTGCCTTCGCAAGATACTCCCGACATAATGCTTAATACTTGACTGCGCGGTCCAATGCTTCCGATGCTGTACGTGCTTGAACTGCAGATTGACTGAGATCGTGTTCCCGCTGCAGCTCAGGACGCATCTCAGGCTTATCTGCAGACCGCTCTGGTGGCGCCGCCTTTGCCTCGAGCGCTTGCAGCTCAAGGCACCGACGTTTGAGAGCCTCCAGCAACTGTTGGGTGGTTGGAGCAAACGGCGATGATGCTGGAAGCGACGTGCCTCCAGGAGCTCCTCCTCCTCCTCCTCCTCCTCCTCCTCCTCCTCCTCCTCCTCCTCCTCCTCCTCCTCCTCCTCCTCCTCCTCCTCTTTGTTGCCAGGTCCCCGGCGCCACTCCTCCTGCCGCCGCCATGTTTTGCCCCCCCATGGCGAGAGGGCTGCCACCCGGCGCGGACGCGGGAGGTGCGCCGCATGCCCAGGCACCCAGTGGACGTTTGGACCAATCACTCGCTGCGGGAACGAGCGCTCCACCACACTGCCAACACTCAGAATGCTTACGCCGGGTCCAACGTTAGCCACAAAGAAGCATGAGGGCATCCCTGGAATCCTTTCTGCGTTTGAGGTTTCCCCATCGCGGCCACGGGGGAAGAGTGATCGTGAAAATGGAAAGCTGCTTGGGGTCGCGAAGTGAGTCTCAAGGTCTCTCTTTCTCACACGCCTCAACTGCTCAAGCGAGGTTGGAAGTTCAGGAGAAGGCCCCTTGAGCCAAAATGGCTACGGACCTCCTCCTCCTCCTCCTCCCCCTCCTCCTCCTCCTCTTCCTCCTTCTCCCTCCTCCTTCTCCGCCTCCCCTTCGTCTGTGAATGAATGAGCGAGCGAGCGAGCGAGTGAACGAAATTGGGAGGGTGAGCAAGCGAGCGAGACGGCGGGTTCCCTATCCTTGAGGTCGATGCCTCGCCCCAGTGAGTCATCTTGGCGGGGAGTCAAAACGCCACTGCGCTCAGGGAGGCCCCCGTGAGAACCCTCCCGCCTGCAAGCCCATGGGAGGGTCATGACACTCCGTCGAAGCCTTCGGAGGGCTCCCAGGACCACACGATGAGACTCCACCTGGTTGCCACGCTGAACAACAAATGCAGGGCCCATGGGAAGATCCCCGAGACGCCCTCGAGGGCCTCTGGAAATTTCCACATGCCCTCGGGATGTATCCGACGAGCCAGCATCGCGGCAGCCTCGGGAAGCTCCCAGCTCCTCTTCCCGTTCTCCTCAACCCAGGAGTACTGGCTGGGAGATGTCCGCATGCGTGGCCACCCAGCCCTGGACGGGACCGCCAGCTTGGGCAGGCCAGACATCGCTGAAGGCCAAGAGGCCTCAAGCTTCCCATCCTTCCCGCCTGTCCTGCCTTGTACGGGCAGCCCCCAGTCAGAGCCGGAGATCGCCCGGGCCGGGCCCAAGCTGCAGCCGACGCGCCCGGGCGGTCGGGGGAGGTCCTCGGTCTGTCTGTCGACCGTCGCGCACGAGGGAGGCGGCGACTCCCCCGGCAAGCGCTGCCCGGCCAGGAAGGGCTCCGTGTCGATGGCCCCGGCGTCGCGGCCAAACTGCGGGGACGACGCCTGGGAGGATGGGGAGGTCCTCCTCCTCCTCCTCCTCCTCCTCCTCCTCCTCCTCCTTCTCCTGCATTCGTTTCCTTGAAGATATGTTTTCCCTGTCGCATCCCGAGGCCAGTTTTTAGGGCGGGCTGGAGGTTTTGCCTATATCCTCACCACCTATGACCCTGAAGCTTAACGGTTGGCAAGAGTTTCACAGATGGACGGCGGGTCGTTTTCAAAATGTGGCTCTCGCCTTAGCACCGAGCACATTCATTTTTGAATTTGCTAGAGCTTCACGGATTGAGGACAGGCCGTTTTCAAAATGTGGCTCTCGCCTTCGCACGGCGCGCATTCGTTTCAAAAATTTGCACGAGCTTCACGGACTGAGGGCGGGTGGTTTTCAAAATGTGGCTCTCTCCTCAGCGCCGCGCAAATTCATTCTAGAAACTTGTAAGAGCTTCACGAATTGAGGGCGGGTCGGTTTCAAAATGTGGCTTTCCCCTTCGCGCCGCGCACATATGTTTGTACAACTTGCCAGAGGTTCAAGGATTCCCATCAACAACGTACCAGAAATGGTGCTTTGGAAGGATTCATGATTGTGAGGGTGCAACAGTTACATTGATTCGCGGTGCTGAAATCCAAGGAATGGCTGGCTGGTGCGATTCAGGATCGTCAAGACGCAACAGTGAGGTTCATCCGTGGCGTTGGGATACCGAGAAAAAATTATGTGTCATGCTTCAGGGTCTTCAAACGGTTGTCTTCCAACGAGGCAGTTCCATGTGGAAATGAACCGGTCGGGACCTATGAAGGAGGAGCTTGGGGGATGGTTTATTCCAACATCTCTGATGACCTTCGGGTTTACGCTGGTCCTCATCCTCCTCCTCCTCCTCCTCTTCCTCCTCCTCCTAATCCATCCTGCTCCTGCTCCTGCTCCTGCTCCTGCTCCTCCTCCTCCTCCTCCTCCTCCTCCTCCTCCTCCTCCTCCTCCTCCTCTTCCTCCTCCTCTTTTTCCTTCTCCTCACTCCTCCTCGTCCTCCTCCTCCTCCTCCTACTCCTCCGCCTCCTTTTCCTCTTCCTCCTCCTCCTCCTCCTCCTCCTCCTCCTCGTCATCCTCCGCCTCCGCTCCTCCTCCTCCTCCTCCTCCTCCTCCTCGTCCTCCTCCTCCTCCTCCTCCTCCTCCTCATCATCATCATCATCATCATCATCATCATCATCATCATCATCATCATCATCATCATCATCATCATCATCATCATCATCATCATCATCATCATCATCATCATCAATCATCATCATCATCATCATCATCATCATCATCATCATCATCATCATCATCATCATCATCATCATCATCATCATCATCATCATCATCATCATCATCATCATCATCATCATCATCATCATCATCATCATCATCATCATCATCATCATCATCATCATCATCATCATCATCATCATCATCATCATCATCATCATCATCCATCATCATCATCATCATCATCATCATCATCACCATCCTCATCATCATCATCCCTCCTCCTCCTACTCCTTCTCCTCCTCCGCCTCCTCATCCTATTCCTCCTTCTCCTCATCCTCCTCCTCTTCCCATCGTCCTTCTCCTCCTCCTCCTCCGCCTCGTCCTGCTCCTCCTCCTCCTCCTCCTCCTCCTCCTCCTCCTCCGCATCCGCATCCGCATCCGCCTCCGCCTCCTCCTCCTCCTCCTCCTCCGCCTCCTCCTCCTCCACTTATTCTCCTTATAATGATACTGGAGAAAAATCCCAATCAGACTTGTTTGGGGGCTATGGGGCTATAGGGCTAAAGGGCTATGGGCTATAGGGCTATAGAGCTCAGTGGCTACATGGATATAGGGCTAAAGGGTTATTGGCCGATTGGGCCATAGAGTTATAGAGCTATAGGGCTCTAGGGCTATAAGGCTGTAGGGTTATAGGGCTGTAGGGCTATAGGGCTATAGGGCTGTAGGGCTGTAGGGCTATAGGGCTATACGGGCTATAGAGCTATAATTAAGGCAACTGGGCACTCGGGCACCCCCGGGCACCTCCGGGCACCCCCGGGCACCGGGGCACCCTGGCACCCCCAGGCACCCGGGCACCGGGGCCCGGCCACCGAAATCGGCGGCGACGGGTACCCGGGCACCCGGCCCAGCCACCGAAATCGGCAGCGACACTAACCTAACCAAATGAATCTGCTAGGACCCCATACAGAGGCAAGCTCTGATTGGGGAATAATTTCTCCTTGTCGCACCCCGAAGCCAGTTTTCAGGGCGGGCTGGCGCCAAAGATTTCCTCACCACGTATGACCCTGAAGTTCTTATGACCCTGAAGCTAAAGAAGTGGCAACACTTTCACAGATGGAGGTCGGGTGGTTTTCAAAATGTGGCTCTCGCCCTAGCGCCGCGCACATTCGTTTCAAGATTTGCACGAGCTTCACAGACTGAGGGCGGGTGGTTTTCAAAATGTGGCTCTCGCCTTAGCGCCGCGCACATTCGCTTTCAAAATTTGCAAGAGCTTCACAGATTGAGGGCGGGTGGCTTTCAAAATGTGGCTCTCGCCCCATTGCCGCGCACATTCGTTTTCAAAATTTGCAAGAGCTTCACGGATTGAGGGCGGGTGGTTTTCACAATGTGGCTCTCGCCCCATTGCCGCGCATTCGTTTTCAAAATTTGCAAAAGTTTTCCGGATTGAGGGCGGGTCATTCTCAAAATGTGGCTTTCGCCTTAGATCCGCGCACATTTGTTCTCAAAATGTGCAAAAGTTTCACAGATTGAGGGCGGGTGGTTTTCCAAATGTGGCTCTCGCCTTAGCGCCGCGCACATTCGCTTTAAAAATTCGCAACAACTTCAAGGATTGAGGGCGGGGGGTGTTCAAAATGTGGCTCTCGCCCCAGCGCCGCACACATTCTTTTGTAAGGATTCAGGCTAATGCGGGTTCAACAGCTATGTTGGGATGCGGTGTCGAAATCCCAAAAATTGCGTTCTGGCACGATTCCAGATCATCGGTGCCCAGCAGTCACGTTAATCCGTGGCGTGGAAATCCTGAGGACAATGTCTTGGTATGCTTCAAAGTCTTCAAGCGGTTGTCTTCCAACGGGGCAATTCCCTCAATGGAAATCTACCCAACGGTTGTCTTCCAACGGGGCCTATGAAGAGGGAGCTTGGAGGGTTGATTCCAACATCGTTGATGACTCATGGGTTTACACTGGTCTTCTTCCTCATCCTCCTCCTACTCCTCCTCATCATCCTCCTCTTTCTCCTCCTCTTCCCCTCCTCCGCCTCCGCCTCCGTTTTCGCCTCCGCCTCCGCCTCCTCCTCCTCCTCCTCCTCCTGCGCTTCCTCCTCCGTTCCTTCTCCTTATGAATAATTTCTCCCTGTCGAATCCAGAGATCAGTTTTTAGGACGTGCCAGCGCCTGAGATGTTCATCACCACGTATGACCCTGCAGTTTTTTTTCGTGACGCTGAAGCCCAAATTATCCTGGCGAAGGTCCCAACCAGATGCAGTTGTGGGTACCGTAATTGTGAATATCGGCTTCGGTGAAGCTCCCTATGGGGCCACGGAGCGCTGCACTGGGCGGGGGGGAACGCTGTACTGTGTGGGTGGCGTACCGAATTGGGTTTCCGGGACGCATGCGGACGGTCCCACTGAGGGCTTCGGTGGAGCTCCCTATGGGTCCACGAAGCGCTTTACTGAGTGAGTGAAAATGCCAAATTGGGTTACAGGGACGCATGCGGACGGTCCCACTGGGGGCTTCGGTGGAGCCCCCTTATGGGGCCACGAAAGGCTGCACTGCGCAAGTGAAAATGCCAAATTACATTTCCCGGACGCATACGGACGGTGGCACTGGGGCCTTGGGTGGAGCCTCCCTATGGGGCCACGAAACACTGCACTGGGTGGGTGAAAATGCCAAATTGGGTTTCCGGGGCGCATGCGGACGGGGGCACTGGGTCCTTCGGTGGGGCTCCCTATGGGGCCACGAAACGCTGTACTGGATGGGTGAAACGCAGGGAGGAGTGGGAGGAGGGCCACGAAACGCTGCCCTGGGTGTGCGGGACGCATGCGGACGGTAGCGCTGGGACCTTCGGTGGAGCTCCGCCACAAAACGTTGTACTGGGTGTGCGGGACGCATGCGGACGGTAGCACTGGGACCTTCGATGGGGCTCCCTATGGGGCCACGAAACGCTGCACTGGGTGAGTGAAACGCAGGGAGGAAGGGGAGCAGGGCCACGAAACGCTGTACTGGGTGTGCGGGACGCATGCGGACGGTAGCACTGGGACCTTCGGTGGAGCTCCCTATGGGGCCACGAAACGCTGTACTGGGTGTGCGGGACGCATGCGGACGGGGGCGCTGGGACCTTCGGTGGGGTTCTCTATGGAGCCGCGAAACGCTGTACTGGGTGTGCGGAACGCATGCGGACGGTAGCACTGGGACCTTCGGTGGGGCTCCCTATGGGGCCACGAAACGCTGTACTGGCTGGGTGAAACGCAGGGAGGAGGGGGAGGAGGGCCACGAAACGCTGTACTGGGTGTGCGGGACGCATGCGGACGGTAGCTCTGGGACCTTCGGTGGAGCCCCCTATGGGGCCACGAAACGCTGTACTGGGTGTGCGGGACGCATGCGGACGGTAGCACTGGGACCTTCGGTGGGGCTCTCTATGGGGCCACAAAACGCTGTACTGGGTGCGCGGGACGCATGCGGACGGTAGGGAAGAGGGGGGGGCTCGAGAGGAGGGGAACGCGGGGACCGTCTCTTCAAAACGAGGACCAACACCACAAAATAGTTGGAACAAAAAGACAACAGTTTCACAAATGGAGGGCGGGTGAATTTCAAATGTGCCTCTCGCATTAGCGCCGCGCACATTTGTTTCCAAAATTTGCAAGAGCTTCACGGATTGAAAGCGGGTGGTTTTCAACATGTGGTTTTCGCCTTAGCACCGAGCACATTTGTTTTCAAAACTTGCAAGAGCTTCATAGATCTAGGGCGGATCGTTTTCAAAATGTGGCTCTCGCCT